TCCTGTTATTTTACTGTTATTCTGCTGTTATGCTGCTGTTATGCTGCCATTATTTGGCAGATATAGGGTAGAATAATAGCAGTTTTTTTTCTGTTATTTACCTATTATTCACCTTTTATTTATTCATTCGACCTGTATAAGCTTTTATAGTCAGACATTCATTTGATTGGCTGATGTAAATCAATTGCTCAGATAACTTATTTATACTTTTTTGGCAAAAGCCATTTGTTACTTCGAAAGAACATTTATATTTACTATATAAAAATAATTAAAAATAATTAGTAATATCAAGAACTTTACTTAGAAGACAAAGTATATTTATTATTTATTGGACTATATTGTAAAGTAAAGGTAACTGGCAATGTTTTTATCTAAAGCTATTTTACTACATTAGATTTAAACAACTTTTGCTTTTAACTATTTAATTTGAATAGATACAAGCTCTTAATAGTAAAAGATTTAGACTTAATATTTAAATTTGGTCAGTTTTTGTAGTACATTTGGCTTGTCAACTATATATTAATAGTGTAATTTATATATTGTACATAGATCTTGTATATAGATTCTTTAATGAATTTAGGTTTATTAGTAATAAATATCATATTTATCTACTTTACACATATCTATTTATTCTTTAAATATAAGTAATTCACTCTTTTATATATATTTATTAGTTTGTAAGCTTCTTTATTTGAAGTTTTGTTTTGTTTTTTAGTACTGTAGTATTAATGCAATCACAGATAGATTTACCTAATTATATGAATGTCTCTCAATAAAGCCCAAACTTGTAAAAAATTTTATTTAATACAATTTAACTACACAATATGCAGATTACTAAAAGTGTATATATATGTACAAAATAATAAAAAATGAAAGTTATTTTAAAAAGTTTTTTTTTTTTTTTTACTGAAAATAGTAATGTAAATCAGCTTGTTTGAGATTATTTATAACATTTAGTCAAATCTGCTTGTGAAGTTTTCTTAAAATTCAAACTTCTTTTTTGATCTTACCAAACTTTGGTTCTTACCTATATAAGAACCTTAGTGTTTGGTTTATGCAATATTCTGCATCTGTATAAGTACCTTTTTTTTGTTTAATAGGAGATTTTTCTGCTTCTTCTTTCTTATTTTCATCATTTTTACCTTCAATAATTTTTAAGATTTTTTCTTCAATAAGCCTACTTTTAATTTCTTCATTCTTATTATGAATATATATATATGCAATAAGAAAGTTAAGAAAGTCATTTGTTAGTAATTGGGTAATTAATTCTGAAAGGTTTGATTTATTATTTACTGTATATATATCACTAAAATTTTAAATTTTTTTTTTTTTTTGTATTTCTAAGATAAGTATACAAATTCAAATTAAATAGATCTTTAAATATTAATGCTAATAATATCTGTCTTGGTTAAATTCAATAGGTTCTTCAGAGTTTTCTTGTAAAAGAATTTCAGTTTTTCATCAGCAATTTTTAATAGTATTTGAAGATACTATAAATCATGCTTCAGTCAAATTTATTATAGCATTATAAATACATATGATACCAATTTCATTTTTACTTTATTTTGTACATCATCATATGCCTTAATCTAGTTTTAAATAAAAAGACTTTTATAATAACACTTAAATGAATAAATAGCTCTTGCATTACAAGGTTAAAGAACCAGAGTTGTATTTTCTAGAAGAAACTCAACTTGTACACAATTTAGTTTCACTTTTGTTTTATTCAAAATAATATGTACTGGTGCTCTATCAACTAAAAGTATAATTTTTCTACTTCTTTGATTTATTTGACTATTAAGCTTAAGAAGAAGTTCATTAAAGATACTCATTTGCATTCAAGCTTTTTTGTTTAAATAATAATGAACAGAAAGGTTATTATAGTTAATATTTCACAAAGCATGTGGTTTTCTAGAATTATGAATAAAAGCAAGCTTTATTTTTTCAGTTTTTTACTTATATTTACCTTATATCCAGATAATTTTGAATGAGCTAAAATGCAGGAAAGTTTCATTTTCCAGTAAAGCCCTGTTTTGTTTATGTTCCAAATATTTTTGAGATCTTAAGGTTGGAGTAATTGTTGTAAAACAAGTCAGTTTTTTTTTATTTTCTCTGAGAGAGGCATACTTGCAGATTCACCTTCTTTTTTAAACTGACTAAGTCTGTGCTATTTTTTAAACTCAGTAAGCCAACCATTGAATTGGTGAAAATCATTAATAAAAAAATGATCTGCAAAAAACTTTGCTTTTTCTTTAAGAATATGCCATCAATAGCTTAACTATTATTAAGCATATTATTTACTCAGAAACCAAGTGCTTTTTCAAGCTTTAACTATTTTGGTATATGAAATTTTTTTATTACACCTTTTTCTTCAGTTGCAATAGCTAACTAACATTCATTTTTTTAAAAAATATCTAATATTGTCAACTTATCTATACTATGCTTATTTGCAAGATCTATATTTTTAATAAGTGAATTCACTTCTTTTTCTTTACAAATATCCTGTTTTTGCATAGCAGAAAGAATATCTCATTTTTTTGTTAATATAATTACTGATTTAAAATATGAATAATCTGTAATGACTAAATATTTATAAGAATACAATAAAGAATATCTAATAATAACTTATAAATTTATGAATTACAGATAATTATCTTGATATAGTAATTATAATTATATAATAGCAGTAAACTTATATGATTTTAGTAATTTCTTATAGTTTAAACAATAAAAATTTCTTATAGATGCATAATGCAGCATGCAGTTAAGCAACTTACACTATATACTGAAATAGTGTGAGAATACTGTATTGTTATTTTTGTTATTCAAAAAAATAAAAATAAAAGCAGTTAAACTAATGCTTACACAATTGTTAACAGAAAATTTTAGATGATAAAATAGAGCTGATCTTTTGTGAATTTTAGAAGATTAAATAGAAATAAGGCTGATTCATTTATAATATATTATAATTCATGCAAAGTATGCTGTATTTTTTTCTATCTGCAATTATTATTTTAACTTTTGTACAACTAGAAAATTTTAGAAGGTTAAATGAAAATAAAGCTAATCCATTTGTGAATTTTAAAAAATTAAATAGAAATAGGGCCAAGCTGCTTGTAACATACTATAATTTATGCAAGCTGTATTATTTTTTCTATCTGCAATTATTATTTTAACTCTTGTGCAATTAGAAAATTTTAGAAGATTAAATAAGAATAAAGCTAATCCATTTGTGACATTTTATAATTTATGCAAAATATATTTAATATTATTTATTAGGCCTTATTTTCTATCTGCAATTATTATTTTAACAGAGAAGAATTAAAACAAAAGATTGTATTATAGCTATTGTTAAACAAAAGCAATGAAAAAACAATTACAAAAAAAAAAAAAAAAACTCTTCTTACTGATCCTCAACTTCAAAACAAGGAAAAAACAAAATACAAAAATAACAGAAAAACAGGCTAGCAAACACCTTTTAAATAACTAATGAAAAAGCTGTATTAGAAAAAAATACATATAATATTATAGAGACTAGAAGACAAAGGAAGCTTCACTAAGATATTAAAATGAAATAACAACTTTTTTGACAAGAAAAATTTGAAATTTTAAAAAATTGGCACTACTTTAAAAAAACAAAAAACAAACATATAATAACTGTAGCAACAACAAAAAAAACAAACAAACAAGTCTTGACCTAATTTGGAAACAGCAAACAACATGATAAAACTAGTAACATAGTACTAACAACATACTAACAAATATTACAAAATTCAATTCTAGATACTGATCAGGCAAAAAAAAAAGATCCTAATCCAAATTTAGAATACAAACCAATGAATAAAAATTGCAATGCAGATATTATATCTTATATTAGAGGTATAGAGAATAGAAATTGAAGACATGTAGACTGTAGAATTTTGGACAAAGTCCTTAAAACTCCTATACAGAACCCAAGTAGTATAGAGCATATTGCAAAAAAATTAGCAATATATGACCCAAAACATAATACATTTCATGATATATTAGTATATGGTCAAATACTGAAAACATTAAGAATAGCAAAAACAGGCTGGCTCAAAGAAGAAATAATCAATAAGTAGGCAGAAAAGCTTAAGTTAATAAGTTTTAATCCAGAATCTTTCAAATATAATATGAACATAAACAAAGAACCAACACACCAAGAAGAAAGAAGGACAAATAATGAGCAAAAGCTGAAAATATTAGAAAAACAAATAAAAGGTCTTAGCATCACCATACCATATCATCAAGCAAACCAAACTGCCAATGAATTTAAAATGCTTAAAAGTAATATACTGCAAGAAATCGAAGATAATAGTAAGAATACTAACATGAAAATAGAAGAACAAGAAGAAGAATTAACTGACAAAAAAACCAGCATCTCATTTCCTGCAAGTACAATCAAGCATAGTCAATGGTCTTCAAAAAACAGAATATGCAATAAAAACAAATCCTTCAAGGCAAATATGTCAACATATGCTCTACTAGGTAAATCCAAAGAAGAAAGAATAAAGTATGTCTAGTGGATCCTAGAAAATAATCATCATATCAAAACAATTAAAGAAGTATTCAAAAATGTGAACAATTGGATAGAAGTAGATTTTGATTGTAAATATAGCAAAGATGCAGCAATAGACAGAATCAAGAGAAAAGAAGGTGAATGGCTTAAACTCATTTCAGAAAAGAATAAAAATGAAAGTCAGAAAACAGAACAGCAAAAGAAACACAATATTAAAAAAAAAGAAAAAAAAAATATAAAACAAACAAGAGAAAATAAAGAACCAAGAAGAACAGAAGAAGTAAAGAAACAAGAAAAAGAAGGAAAAGGAAAACATGTTGCAAAGAAAAACAATATAATAGGAAGTAGCAAAGACAAAGAAAAAGGAAAGGAATCTTAAGAGGAAAAATGGTTAACCATATGAGATCTACTGCCAAATATTAATGAAAAAGAAATCAAATATATATGCAAAAAAATTTAAAAACTTGAACATTGTACGAGTCAAAAGATCACTATACAAGGCATTGGCAATAATAGTAGCAAGCATAAAGAAAGAAGAAAACATTCCATGGGTGCTACCACTTGGCAACAACAAATTAGTACATATAACAATTGGAGATGAAGACTATAGCCAAAGAGACAAGCAAGAATAGTACACAGCCAAATTACTAAATATTCCAAGAGAAGCCTCAGAAGTACTGTTGTTATGATGCTTAAAAAACAAAGGTGCAAAATCAGTATACATCCTATATAACAGAAATGAAAATCAAAAGAAGTTTGCAATAATCACTTTCATAGATGCTTTAGCAGCAAAAGAAGCTCAAACAATACTAATATGGTACAACAACCACTAAGTAAGTTGAGAAAATCCTAGAAGAAAGAAAGAACAAAAAAGAGATGAATTAAGAGGAAGAAAACAAGAAAGATCAAAAGTAAATAGTAAATGACAAGAGTTATCTAGAGCCAGAAATATAATACAAGAAAAGCCAAATAAAAGATATGATGAGATAGGTTTAGACCCCAGATACAAAATATAAAAGAATAGTTAGAAAACAAAAATGTTGATATAGAAGTAAAAGAAGATAACCTAAAGAAAAAGAAAACCAAAGCAGTCTTGTAAGATCAAGCAAGAACAGTACAAGTAAAAGACATCTTGTGTCAAATTTTGGATAGACTAGACAAAATTGAAGAAATACAGTTAGGTATAAGAAGTGGCCTAGCTGATCATTTCTAAGAGTGCCACAGTTGAATCAATGAATATAGACAAGGAGATCAAAGAGTTTTTACAAATTGAAAGAGAGGTTTTGGAAAAAGAAAAAAAATTAAAACTCCTTGTTAAGAAAGAAAAGCATATGATAAAAAGAAAGAAAAACTTAAAAGTGTAGAAACAAAACACAAACCACTAAAAGAAAGATAGAAAGAGGGAAAAAAGGAAGTAAAACTAGCATGTCACAATGTGAATAAACTCAAAACCAAGGGTTGGAAATTGGAAAACTTACTTGGCAGGGCAAAGAAAGAGGACATTACAATACTAGGAATCATAGAAACAAATCTTACAGAAAGAGAAGAAAAGTTTCTAACATATGCAACAAGCAAAAGATATGTAGAGTTTTGGACAAACACAGCTGAAAATAAGAAGAAAGGCTCAGGTATTGAAATTATAGTTAATGAACAATGG